TTTTGTACCATCTAAATAGTGAGAATAATTTAATTGTTTTAAAGGCAGTCTCTTCTGCATTAGCTCCAAACGTAAATCTCCCTATTGCGTATTTGCTTAAAGCTTGAAAAAACTATCAAAAAAGATCTTTAATCTCATGTAAAGAGATGCCCTTATTTGAATGGCCTTGTTATTTCGTTACCCAAAAAAAGTGGGAAACCCTTTTAGTAATACCTTGATATTTAGAGACAAGCTTTATATTCTAGGGTAAAATAGGATAGAATGATGCCAAACTGCCCTGGAGACTGTCAAACACCAAATAGCCTGGACGTTCATGGCATTAAACGCAGGCCAAATGCAGGCAGTAAGCTGCTTCTGGTGCGAAAGTTAACGCAAGCCTTTGCTCATAATTTTTAGATGACATTGGATCAAAACTTTACTACCATTCAATTTTTATTATCGAGTAATCTGGCAAGAGAAACAATTATTTATTGAAATTGATGTTTTACCAAAAATCTGCCACTTTACACATTTTTACTGGAATCCAATCTAATTTAATCCAGAAAACAATGTAGGCTTATTGGAAAGTAATACATAGTGAACTAAACTTTACTTAGCCAAAACCGCAAGACACAACGAGTCTCCTTATTATTCATATTGACTACAATATCCACCGCTAATTGCCTCAGAACAGTTGATCTAATAAATCTAGCTATAATATAATAGTGAGACAAATTTAAAGTATTCTTATGACAGCCAATCTAAAGTCTATTACTTCTTCGAAGTTTTGGCATGTGCCATAGATGTTGCTTTCAAACGACTCATGTTTTCAAAAAATTTCTTGTCCAGATTCTTATTCAATCCTTAATTTTTTTCGAGTAATTATAGACCAGATTTTCTTAAAGCTGACGGGGTTTAGACATCTTGATGTTGGAGTAACTTTCATTTCGTTTGAAGAGGCTAATGGAAGGGATTCGTAAGTTTGTCTTAATAGACGTGGAAGTTGGGCTGCCTTGTAGCTGTGACTGTGGATTTGTACGACTAAGTCCTCGGCTCAACGTCATACAAGCTCAATGGATCCTTGCTGGACTTTTGTCTGTCATGTCACCATGCTCAATGATAATTCACCAAATCATGAAGACAAAAAAGGTGTAGATACGAAGAGTAGCTTGGTTTCGATGAATTTCCTCAATCTTTCATTTCCTATGAAAATGTATGAAGAAGAGATTTGTAGATTGATCTCACCAGAAGAGGACAGCCGATTCCCGTTTTACTGCAGCTGTTTGGCTTCAATATGACGTTCAGGTTGACGCAGTCGACGACACATTCTGCCTCGTTTAGGATGATTTAGCTTCAGATGAGGCGTAAAACGGATGGGAATGTGACCAAACAGCTGTAGATATCAAGGGAAACTGGGTTTCGATAAATCTCTTGAGATAATAATATTTGGGGGACTTTCAGTTCGCATGAAAGTGAATGAAGAAGAGATTCGTAGGTCAATTTCACCAGATGAGGACGGATGAATCTCGTTGTACTGCAGCCGTTTGGCTTTTATACGATATTTATTTGTATGCAGTCCACAACACTTCCTCCTTCGTTTTGGGTGAAAACGTGCTGAGCTTTCGTCAATCATATGATGGACATCATCAGAGCTGGGTTTCATTCTTGTAAGAGTCTCACGTTAATACTAAAGCGAGAACACTATCCGGTATGAAAGAAAATTAACCAAACCACTCTATATCGATCTATCTAGGTTTTTAATTTTCACTAGGCTCTATTAAGTCTATATAACTTCCCGAAAAGATGGCATCACTGAAGAAAGTGTTATTTTTTCCTTATACATTGTCCTAATGGCCTACTTTCTCAGTAATTCAATCATACTTTTCGAGAGCTAATAGAATGGTAACAGAACCCTAATATAGTGGTCTAGTTGCTTAGCTTACCTTAAATAAATGCTTACTTCCATCCTATTTTCTAATAGCTTAAAGTAGTTGTCATTTAATCCTTATGGGTAATCGTTCTCAAACAAAATTTCCCTTAATCGCCTCAGTTCCTGGTTCCTATACTATGTATTTGCAAGATGTAGGAGATTATTAGCATAGATTTAATAAAACCTATTTTATCGCCATAAATATGGTTTGAGAATAAATTAAAAATGAACCCCGATTTTGTGGGTTTTTATACACATTTTACTCAATTTATTTGCCTAAGCAATAATTTAGGAACTAAAAGTGCTTCTTGTATTAGGCGACTTTCTCATTGAACCATGTAGCTATTTGCTAAAATTTAGGGACAAACACGATCCTAGAGCTAAGTCTCGTGCTTGTTCGTACAGTTTACAATTTAAAGTAAACTATGTACAGCTCATCACTAAATTCGTCAAAATAATTATTGACTCCTTATATAAATTTCTACTAATCAGAATATCCTGGTTTTGGTTCAATGTTAATTATAAATAGATGAGTTAGTGAGGAACTGGGCCATCAAATAGTGTATGAAGGAAATACCACATTTCTTAGTAATGTCATCTTTTCGGGAAGCTTCGCTCCCTCTTATAAGTTATTGTGCGCATGCGGTAGCGTCTATGTGGAGGAGACCTGTCTATCCATGAATTAGAGGTTCTCTGAACATAGTGAATAGTTGTGAGTCCAAAAATCATAACTGAACAAACACGCGGTTTACACAGAACACCAGATAGACTGGTCTAAGGGCAAACGCTTAACTGGATATGGAGACTATATAAGTAAGCGGAGGATAAGTGAATCCATAGAAATCAACAAAGCAGCTATACCCTGAATATAAGTATTGAGTATAGGAAAGTATGTGGAAACTACTTGTGACTGTTGGATAGGATTGGAGAGAGAGGGGGGAACGAGAAGTATCACTGAGCAAGAGGAGGCTTGATTGGCCTCGAATATGGTTTTCACTTTCACACTCCGCCTGTCTGATGATCATTGCATGCACTTGCAAAATTGCAGAATCAAATATATTAGTGATTGACGAGAGGATGCAGCTGTTAAGCCTCAATCTCATCAGTTTCACACCTCATCTGCAGCTACTTTGTATATCATCCACAGCCACTTCACTTTTCACCAATATGTAGAAGCATCGGATATTTGATCAAATCATGATAGGTTTCACTAAGATAAAGTTGGACTATACAAAGTAGGTAATCTTGTAGCCAACCAACTTTCTTTTATTTGCGCTTGGTGAATTCTCGTAAAGTATGGTGTTCTGCTTTGACGATGTCCATCACATGATAGAGGAAGGTTCGGCAAGGAAGCATCGAGGTCGCTTGATGGTGAGCCATGGATTTAGCCGCACAAATCTACAGTCAAAGCTCTAAGGCAACCTCCTTTCGACTTCCGGTGAAACCAATTTACGAATCCCTTCCATTCACGAAATGTAAGGTACTTCAATATCTAGCTAATAAGAGATTCTTTGAAAACCAGTTTTTATTTATATCTTATAATGCTTGTTCTTAATGCAATTAATGAGCAGTTACATTGGAAAGTTGTACATCCTTTTCCAGATCGTATTAACTTTTCATGATTCCAAGCTAATGATAAAACGCCCGAGCCAGTCACGTTGTCAGGGCTAACTTTGGTCGACCTCTTATATGGCCTTAGTACTTTATTACACGCCTTCGTAACTGTATATTTACGAGAAAATTGTATCCAGTAAAAGAACTCGTCTTCAAAACGTAACTCAGGTATTCTGATGAACGTTAATTTGTGGCAATAATATAGCGAATTACTGAGATCCCTAAATGAAATATGAAACAAATGAATAATTACGGCTATTTTGGAATGAATATTTAAGCCCTTCACTAAAAAATTTCGCTGGCATAATCTTTGATAAAAAAAATATAGTTATTATTACCTCTAATTGCTGGATGAGGTCCAAGAGGGGTATGTTTCGTACCACCATATAAGCATATTTTGCGACCTGTGCAGTAAAATGTGAATTTAAAGTCAATTATGACTGTAGAAAATAATGAGCACAATATTACAGAGGAAAGAAAGTACAATAAATATAGGGAAAATCCTAATCTACCTGGAGGTGTAAACGGAGCAGCGCCACTTGACCCATAAGCTCAAGATCGGCGTCAGTGACTCCGAGACAGGCTAGGCTTCGAGCTTCGTCCAGTCGATTAGCTTCAATATACAGACACATGGCTGACGAAAAAGACACAGAATGCGTACGAATGCCTTGATTTTCAGTCAAACAATAGACTTGACTTCCAGAGAAGCTAACCACCTCTCCCTGATGATCGGTTTCGAAAAGAGGAAAGGACAGATTATAAGGTAGCATAGAATCAAAGGAAAAGGGTTAAATGACTTAGAATAGGAACAAGTTAATTCAAAAAAGCTACATATCCATAATAAAATAAGAATATTTGGTCCAAAATTATGTTGCAAGAACAGAAATGCATTAGGAATTTATGACATTGGATCATGAGCTGAATTGGCTTATTATGGATGCTAAAGAAGTAGAATTTAATTCAGAATATCAAAATGTCTTCATGCCTCAATTCTCAAGTGTTGCATTGTAAAGTTGAAAATGGTCAAATATATATACTAGATTGAGGCTAATTAATTCCGTTCTGACAACCGAGGATATGATAGCTTGTAGTTTATAAATTTGTTTTCGAGACTACCAGTAAATCAGTTATATGAAATGTATCCACCCTATTTTGTTTAAGGTGACGAAGGACTGATAGTTGAATTGTCTTACAATGATATGAACATACTTGACGCTTCCATTGAATTTCATGTAGTCTTTCTTTCCAAACAAATGTACTTATCAAAAGAGGACCGGAATTTCGATCTCGTCTAGGTCTTATCAGCAATCCCAGCGAGAGTATAACGATAGCAGAACAGCATGTAATCTCAACACGTTAACCACTCTGCTATATTGCAACTAGTGAATTAGGGTCACAGGACAGATGTGTATTTCAAGGAAGCCCAAGCCCTTTCCCATATCACATGTTTTTGTAGGATTGTCGATGAAGCAAAGTAATATTTTGCTATAACCATCGATTTAAACGAAATAGGATGAACACATCTCAT